ACGCAGGGGCCCCCCGGGCCTTTCGTCCCACCCCCCCTCCCTGCGAGGAACACCAGGAGAGGGCGGGGCCGTGACGTCTCGTGTTCCAAGCTCCCGTTCCGCCGGCCCCTCACAGATTTCACACATCTGAGGAGCAATGTTTTGCTGACCGATCTATGGCTGGAGAAAACATTGGCGCAGGGGTTACGCTCTGCAATTCTCCCGAAGCACCACCATCGCATGGCACGGTGGAACGCTGCTGGGCAGCGCTTCACTCTCCTGTCTCTCAGGCGCGCCACGTCCCGGGTCCGGAACGGGGGGCCGACAGATTCCCAGGGGGGCCCACTCCAGCACGAGTGGGGCCTGGCCCCACGTTAGCTGCGGAGATCTGGCGGGTTCGGCCGTCCAGTGTTGACCTTGTTCCGCCAGTGGCAGAAAACGCACAGTGCCCGTCCTGGTTCGCCTAGGGTCCGCGGACGAGCCGCCCCTCAGGCATGGTCGCTCTGGCTCCATTTAACCCCTGGCCAGAGGGCGCCTGCTGTTGCGCTTTCCACCATGGCGTCCCTGCCGGTCCTGCTGCGGAGGAATCGAACAGGAGATTAGTCTGTGATCCTGGTGGAGTCCGGACAGCCCGCTGGTTCCCCTTCCTGAGGGGCAGCGTTGTGATGGAGCCCTGGGCCTCCCGGCTCGAGCCGGGGGGCTCTATCCCAGGGGGGGGCACCCTGTTTTTCACCGCCCGATAATCGGCCGCAGGCCTCTGGGTTGGAGGCTGAGAGGCGGAACCCTCGTAGACTGGGTCTTCCCCCTGCGGTGGTGGAGACCATACAGGGGCCGAGGGCTCCGTCCACTGGAGGGCCTACGCCACGAGTGAGCTCTTCAAGCGACGTGGTGTGGTTCTCGTTCCTGGATCCCAGGCCGTTGCCTCGCTGTAGGGGTCCTGGGATTCCTACAGAAGCTTTTTGACAAAGGGAAGGGGCTGTCGCCACCTAGACAATGGGCGGTGTTCGCGGCAGCCATTACATCGGTCACGACGGATTCGGGGGTTCACATCCCGTCTCATCGTTGGTTTAAACGTTTTCAGCGGGGCGCGCAGGAGAGCGCACCCGCTCCAGAGAACGCCCCCGGTTTGGGACCTCAGTGTGGTCCGTAGGTCCTGTCGGGTCCGCCTTTGAACCGGCGGCGGAAGGCGAGTCCCGGTTTGTCGCTTTTAGACTGCCCTCTGCTTGCCGGTTGGCGTCTGCTAAGAGGGCGGCGCGACTTGTGTGCGCTCTCCTGTCCATGCGTCTTGCCTGTCCTTGTGGAGAGGGCTACGCATGGGTGGTATGTGGCCCAATCCGCCCTATCTCCCCCAAGGTCATCACGTCGGCCCTTAGGGGCGAGTCCATCATATGAGGGCTTTCTATCCGCCACCGCATGCCTCCCCCCCGAGTAGGAGCGGCGCCCTTCTGTGTCCTGTCAGACTGCTGAGCATTACTTGGCCATGACGTCCGCATTCAGGTTTGTGTTCTGGCCCCAATGAACAGGGCCCCCGCTGTCGGCTCAGCGGCTGCTCACTGGGGTTGACCCACTGCTGTGCGCGGCGTATCACACCGGCAGGGTCTGCCCCCCCCGGTGGGCTTCAGGTCGCATTCCACACGTGGGGTGGCGGCCCTACGGCCCTCCTCAGTGTGCCGTGCGGTCAGAACCGTCTGCCGTGCGGCTTCTTGGGGCGTCTCCCTCTTTCTTCGTCCCTGTCTAGCTTTTGGAATGTGTCGGAACCGGTCGGTGCCCATTCCGTGCTGAGTGCAGAGGACGGAGTTAAACCGTTACGTCCCCTCCTGTAGGGAGGCCTTCGGTTGACTTTCCGCCCTGGTTCAGGAGCTCTTGGGAGAGCATCCTACAGAGTCGGTACTTGGTTTGTTGTTTGGACCGTCAGAGGTAGTTCCCACGTCGGTGTCCCACTATCGAGACCAAGGGACGTAGCACCAGACGTAAATTAATAGTTACCTATAGTAACTTAAGTTCTACAATAGGTGCGATAGTCCCCTTAGCCTACGAGCCCATCAGCCAGCCCTGCTTGGCTGAGTTCAAGAGGGGGTGCGGCTGTGTGCAGGGGCGGGCCTTTATAGATGTGGGAGGCTGGTTATTGGAGCAAATTATTTTGATCTCTCTGGCGAGTGACCTGGTCACGAGCGATACTCCACTACGAAGTCTAAGGGACACGCACCCTATTCGTAGAACTTAGTTACATAGGTAACTGATTAAATCGTCTTGCATTTGCTAAAATGACTCCATTAACAAAGGGTGGTACCATCTATTGATCTTTGCCTGTCTCTTCACGACAAAATCTGATACAGTGACCGCATTATCCACACATGCTGCAACAAATCCGTCTGATATCTCACGTCATGCTCCATCCTGCCCTCCTGAGACAAGACCTAAGAGACTGTGACTCCTCCACTGAGGAAGACACCTCAGAATCAGAATCAACACGTAACCAACACGCAACCGACACGTAACAGTCCCCACTCTTTTTTTACACACACAAAGAATTATTGAATTCACATTCTGATACAGCTTTTTGGCAGCTGAATCAACTACGTCAGTGGTTCTCAAACTTTTTGGCACCAGTACCACCTCAGAAAATACTTCTCCTCGTCCAAGTACCACCACCAAAAAAAGACCAACACTATACAGTTGCGTTATTAAGCCTAAGTAATTCATCAAGAACAAGGCCGAGTTTCATTTCCTATAGAAAGTAATATTTAATAATTGTGAGCCATTAAACTTTTTACCATTTTCATACCATTACAAACTGTGCTTAAATATAGGAGAAATAGAAAAAACTAAAAACTTGTTACTTCAATAATGATTCAATTTAAATTTTCAATTCATTACAAACGGGTAAAGCCTTGACTCACCCACGGGTGAATTCTATCCATCGAGTGGGGGATGGCCTTCTTTGTCCCACCAGAGGGTTGGTCACGGGGGCACTTTTGTTTTATTAAGGGCTTGTCAGCTGGCCTCTTACAGGTTCAATCTGCCATTTACTTCACACAAAGAGATGTTGGTTCATATGGTTTGCGATCAATGATCTTTTGTTTGTTCTCTGAGTCCCTTTGCCCGCACAGAACTGGGAAAAATAACTTTTGTATATTGTTACGACCCTCGCTCTAGGCCGAAACATAAACAGAAGGGGAAGAGACAACGGCCATTGTTCAGACCCTCGTAGGGGCATTTATGCCATACTAATATCAGAATCAGAATCCTTTTTTTGCCACGTAAGTAACAGGAATCACAGACTTGGGGAAATTGCTTCGGCTCAGTGGCAACAGTTCAGAGAGAAAATAATAAAAAATAAAATAAAGAATAAAAAACACTTCTTAAGGAAACATATAAATTTATGAATAGAGTTAAAGAACGTTTACCTATGTACTATAGACACGTGCACAACTATGGTGCTCACAATGTAAGGTGACAGCAGTACAGTGAATAAAGTGACGTATGATGGCATAAAGTGACTTTTTATAAAGGGCGGGGGACAGGTAAAGAAGTGTTCAAGAGTCCAACAGCAAAGTGGAGAAACTGTATCTTGAGACGGACGGTTCTATCCTGAAGGGACCTGCAGTCTCCTGCCTAAGGGGATGTTGGAAGTAGAGTCCATGTGCAAGAGGGTGAGAGGGTCGGCTGTGATACGACCAGCCCGGCCTCGAGCTCGTGCGAACGTACAGGTCCGTGCTGCGAGGAAGGCTTGCGGCAATCAATTCCTCTGCTGACGCACAATGCCTGTAGTCCTGTTTGTCCCTGACAGTGAGCTCCCAGCGAACCACACGGTGACGGAGGAGGTGAGGAAGGACTCATGATGGGGCCGTGTAGAACTGGCACGAACCAACATCTAGTGCAGGCAGTTGGGCTTTCTGAGCTGTCTGCAGGAAGACATTCCTCTGCTGGGCCTTCTGATGAGGGAGCTGATGGTCACTCCCACTGTTGAGGTCCTGGGTGATGGTGGGCCCAGGAAACGAAGGGAAGAGTCCATCACGAAGTGGGGGCGGGGGACAGTGCTTCTTCTGAAGTCCAAACACTCCGACTGTCTTCCTGGGCGTTCAGCCATTGTTACCAACTTGCACGCAGACACCAGCCGGTCCCCCTCCCTCCTGTAGGCGACTACAATCGGGTTCTTGGAGAGAGTCCAATGAGGGAGGTGACATCCGCGAACTTTAGCAGCTACACAAGAGTCGTGCTGGCGGTAGCCGTGTTTGGTGTTAACAGGGAAAAGAGCAGGGGAGAAAGACACCGCCTGTGGGGCTCCTGGATTTATACTCCGAGAGTCCGAGACATTCTTCCCCACGAACGCACTCGCTGCTTCCTGTCCTGACAGGAAGTCAGTGATCCACCTGCAGGTGGAAACGGCACGTGAGCTGGGAGAGCTTGTCCCTGAGCAGGATGGCAGGATCGTGTTGGAAGGCAGAGGCTTAAGGTCCACGAACATACCCTGGCCGGTAGGTCCCCGGGGAGTCCAAAGTGCTGTAGGATGGTTGGTGGAGGGCCAAGGTTGATGGCTTTCTACAATCTGTTGGCTCGGTAGGCGACTGCAGGGGGTCCAGGAGGGGGGGATGTGAGGGACTTGAGATGGGAGAGGACCAGGCGTTCAAATGACTTCATGACGACAGACGTAAGTGCCTACAGGCGTAGGCATTGAGTCCTGTGATCCTGGGCTTCTTCGGGACGGGGGCAATGATGGAGGCATTGAAAGCAGGCCCGGGACAAGGCAGGACGGCAGAGAGAGTTGAAATGAATGAACACAAGGATTAGCTCACTCGCAAGCATGTCCCAGAGTGGGCTAGACACTGGTCCGGGCCCTGAGCTATGGCGGGGTGGCAGCCTCAGACGCGTTGTTCAATAACTGCCTGGTGCGGGGACTTGGCTGCTTTCAGTTCGTCCCTGAACTGATAATTACTCTGCATTGTAGCCGCTGCGGTCCCCCCTCCTGAAAGGCCGACAAGACTGGGCAAGTTCCACCACCTTACAGGTCACCTTACCGTCTAGACGCCCAGGACATAGCTCTCCACGTGCTGTCCCGGTTGGCTTAGCACGTGGGTGGTGAGGATCCTTCCTCTGCCAGGGTAGATTCCTGCAGGCTGGACACGCCCCCTGCCTAAGTGATAGGCAGAGGAGAAGGGAGAAACGCCCTAGCCGCAATGATCGCGCATACGATGTAACTGAACTTGAAAACTGACATTGAAAATGTTCCAAAAAGTAGACATGACACAACTGTGTCCACGTCCCTGCGCTTCGGCATCTAAGAGGCAAATAAGTTTTGTTCAGATGTTTTTTCAAAGGAACGTAACCGTAATTATTGTTTGCTTGTAATTTTGTGGTATATATAGGACATACAAGCCTCACTTGATCACCAGGCGGAAAGGATGAGCTCAGGACAACGGCCAAATGGCGACGCAATATTGGCTTTGGTTTACACCCATTTCCCCCTGCATAAAACGTTGCATAAACCGTTACCGAGATCCAACGATTTTTCAGGCGGTTCAGACTCTTAAACTCCAGCACCACTACATTGCATGGGACAACCCCTGGTACTTTCAAGAGACCTCCTCCCAGCCAACACAACCAAGGCAGACCTCCTCCCAGCCCTTACCTATCTCTATAACAGTAAGTATAAGAAACGGTCACTCATCCGCTTGGGAGTGCGGTCAACGAAGTTATTTCACGACCTAAGAAAACAAATGAAGTTCAGTTTGTGTCCCCGTCCCAACTGAAACCACTTCCGGTCTCCCAAAACCAGAGATGAACTGTGACATTCTGCAACCACCGAGTTAGCTGTAACAAAGCAATAGGTACACAACAGGATACACTTGCTTGACAACAGTCAGTAATCTGTAATTTGTATGTGACTTTAAATTAGGACCGCCCTTAAAAAGAGTCCCTTAATCTCAATGGACTACCTGGATTAAATAAAGTAAAAAAATAATAATATATATAATAGTAAGATATAATAATAAATATATATTAGGGCTGTCCAAATTATCGCGTTAATTCACGTTAATTACCGGGTTTTCATTAACCGCGTAACTAAATAATTAACTGCATAACTGCCATTGACGGGTCCACTCTTGTTGGTTTGTACCCAAACGTATACAGGTTGTGAGCAAGTCAAACAGACTTCAAGCAGAGGCTCGGGAAGACCTGCGTCACAGAAAACTAGGGAACTCAGACCAATGGAGAGATCCAGAGGAACAAAATTCAAAATGTAGTACAACGGAAAACCATAATGAGGCCGCCACACAGACGTTTATTTGGCTCCAGAAGTGAGATTTTAACTAATTGGAGTAAAATGTCAATTATATGCCAGGACATGTAGGAGCTCTAATAGGAAACATATTTTAGCAGTGTATAAGTAAAAAAACAGTTGAATGGGTGTTTAGTTACCTCTTTAAGTACTTTTTGGGGGGTATGAATACAAATGTTCATTACATTGAAAATCACATTTAACTTCAATTGGAGTGGATTTGGAAAATAGAATGATAAAAATGCGATTATCGTGAGTTAACACAACCATGTACTGTGTTCTATTAATCAACAAAAAAAATTAATCGTTGACAGCCCTAAATATATAATAGTATATATATATATATTATATATATATATATATCCTATATATTAATTTTTTTCATTTTTGGCATAGCCACTAAGGGAGCCCCCGCGTACCAGTGATTTACGCGTACCGACACTTTGATGAATCACTGAACTAACGTCAATACAGGACAGACAGACTTGACATATACAGTACAGACCGTTAAGATTTGGATGCTATTGTCATTCAATGAGTTCGTAGATCTTCACTCTCAGCCTGTGTAAGGGCTAGTTGGACCAAGAGCCCGCCACAGTCACCAGACTGTGGAGGCCAACCAGAATGGTTTTGTTGATAGTTGGACCACAGAGTGAAGTGAAAGGGCCAACAAATCTAAGCATCTCAGAGATCTTCCTTACAAGACTGTTGAAGACCTTTCAATCACTACCTTCTTGAAGCTCATCATGAGAAGCCAAGAGTGTGCGAAGGCAGTATTCAAAGCAAACGTGCTACTTTGCAGACCATAGAATATAAGACATCGCTTCCAGTTTGTTTTCAACTTTTTTACTAAGTACATACATAATTCCCACCAAGAGTTAATTCAAGTGTTGATCCTGTCAGTTTGATCTACAATTATCATCCATAGTGAAAATAATGAAAATAGAAAATAAAAACAAAAATCACATTTGAATAGAAGGGTTGTGTCAACACTTTTTTTCTACCAGTTGTCAAAATTGGCTTTCATTATTACTTCTCCACACCTGTCAAAAAATGGACAGAGGAGAACGTCCTATGATACACTTCTAGAACTACCCACCATTATCACAGCTACTACAAAAGTCTTAAGCATATAGCTTAACAACCCTACATTGTAAAAAAAAACATAAAATGTTTTAATTTTTTTATATTTTTTTTTTGTTCATTTTTTAGTGTGTGTATGGAGGTAACACGCTGTATTGCAATCTCTTCAAAAGTTTAAATTGTCCAACAACATTGAGTAAACATTGTACCTAAATAAGTTTGTGATACCACCGTCTGCTCCCTCTCCCTGCGCTGAGGAGAGGAGCGCGTCTGCGCGCGCACGTGGCGCGTGCATGTAGCGCGTGCATTTAGCGCAAACATACCGGCAGGTCCGTGCTTGTGACCGCACGGCCCCGCATCTACAGACTCTTCCCTGCCAAAACTGTCCCCCGTAACGCACAAGGGTGAACACTTGCTGCCTACACAACCATATCATCATGTCCCCCACACACACAACTCACCTGCTGCCGTTGTCTCGGTCCACTGGCCAAACCGAGGCACTTCATGGTCACACCAAATATAGCGCAGGGTCATGCGCATGTGGTGGGTCAGAGGACTTTGTTTCTTAAATGAATTCAATTGTGTCTTTTTATGTTTGCTGTAATCTCTGTTAAGTGGAGAGGCCTGTTCACACTTGGGAACAAGGTGGGGACAATTTCAGCATTTCTTTTGTGTTTGTGTCAGAATCAGAATCATTTTTATTGCCACGTAAGTAACAGGAGGTCACAGACTTGGAAATTGCTTTGGCTAAGTGCAACAGTCAGAAAGAGATAATAAAAATAAGAATAAAAAACACTTCTAAAGAATAAATTTAAATTTAAAATAGAGTTACAGTTACTATTTACAATATACAAGTGCACATGGTGCACACAATGTAAGGTGACAGCAGTACAGTGAAGTAAAGTGACGTATGATGGGCAGTAAAGTGACTTTATAAAGGGCGGGGGGACAGGTTAAGAAGTGTTCAAGAGTCCAAACAGCAGAGGGGAAGAAACTGTTCTTGTGGCGGGAGGTTCTAGTCCTGATGGACCGCAGTCTCCTGCCTGACGGAGTGGTTGGAATAGTCCATGTGCAGGGTGAGAGGGGTCGGCTGTGATACGACCAGCCCGGCCTCGAGCTCGGGCGACGTACAGGTCCTGCAGCGATGGAAGGCTGCGGCCGATCACTTCCTCTGCAGAGCGCACAATGCGCTGTAGTCTCTGTTTGTCCCAGCGAATCACACGGTGATGGAGGAGGTGAGGATGGACTCGATGATGGCCGTGTAAAACTGCACCAACATCTGTGCAGGCAGCTTGGCTTTCCTGAGCTGCCGCAGGAAGTACATCCTCTGCTGGGCCTTCTTGATGAGGGAGCTGATGGTCGGCTCCCATACTTGAGGTGCTGGGTGATGGTGGTGCCCAGGAAACGGAAGGACTCCACAGAGGTGATGGGGGAGTCCAATATCACTATACAGTCCTCACTGTATAGTGATATTGTCCACTTCTACACCTCAGAAGATAAGAAGTAGTCATCTGTCGTCATGGCTGTCCAGACACATTGATCAGTGACCAGGGCAGAAAATGTGTGGACCATTTGTGGATTCCCTTCTAATCAAACTTCAAACAGAGCACGGCATCTCCTCTGCATACCACCCCCAAACAAATGGTCAACGGGAACGTCACAACAGAACCCTGAAGACATCATTGGCAAAGCTTATGAATGAATATTGGATGATTGGGATGAACTTATTCCAGGTGTTCTTATTGCATACCACACATCAGTGCATTCCTCAACAAAATGCACACCCTTTGAAGTTATGTATGGGCGAAAGGCAAAATTGGCAATCGATGTATGTGAATCAGCAGAAACTTCTGGCGCTATAGATGGCGACCTCCTTACCGCTATGAAGAAAATTCATAATGGTATTCAATCAGCTGCATCAAGCAATATTGAAAAAGCCCAATTGAGCCAGAAACGCAACAATGACAACCATCAGAGTAGCCACCAGGACATCCCAGTAGGCACAAAAGTATGCATCGCATGGGTTCAAAGCTGGAGCCCCACTGGATTGGGCCTTATGAATTCACTGAGTCTCTTACCAAAGGTAATTTGCAACTGATGAACTGTAGCACACAAAAAAAGCTGAAGAATATACTATTATACCACAAACCAGAAAGGCTTCCCAACTACAGAGAACACTGATTCCCTAGAATCAATCAATCCATCCATTTTCTGCCCCTTAATCCATTTCTGGGTTGGGGGGGTGGCAGTCAGAGCTGCACCCAGTACACAGAGCACAGAGCAGCAGCCCCTCACTGATCCTCCTCCAGGTGGTTGAGTCCACAGGAGGAGATCTTTGAAGGGGGCTTCAGGCAAAGTGGGGTAAAGTGTCTTGCCCAAGAACACAATGGCAGCAGTCATCAGTGGGAGTCGTGAAGTAGGTCTCATGATGGGCTCGAACCCACGACCTTCAGGCTCTCAGGCCAATGCTCTACCAACTGAGCTACTGTCGCCCTGTCTCAACCAATGCTGACCAAGATATTTCAGAAGTTTCTCAACCAACCAAAAAGCAGAAATTGGCCAGAGTTTTCCACCCTTTACCTCTCACAGCAACGCAGAATATAGCGTAAGCACTTGGATTGAAAGTTATTAGGAGATTGCTTTATCATTGTTATAGTTTTGTCATTGTTATAGTTTTATCATAGTTATAGTTTTATCATAGTTATAGTTTTATATAGAATATCACCACTATATCTTTTCCTAAATGTATTAAGTAAATAATATATTGCTTGATTTTATTGTTATTATATAATATGAAAGGGTGGGTTAATCTGGCCTATGGGGGGTTAAACTAGCCTAGGCCAGTTTATACCCCAGGGTATATTCTGGCCTAGGCTACATTATACTCGGGTATATTCTGGCGGGGGATTAAACTGGCCTGCTACACGGTCGCAGAGTCATAATCCACAATGCTGCTGTTCTTTTGTGACACTTTAATTGATCTTGAGGATAACTCAATTATTTCAACAATAGATTTTAGATCTTATTGGTACAACTCCACAGCCTTCACACAGCCGTCTTACCCGGATCCGGCTGTCTGCTCCTGGGTATTCCTTCTCCTCCAGAGCCTCCCACCTCTGGTCAAACTTGGACACCAAAGGATCATCAAAGTCCACAATCTGGAATCCCGACACGTTTGCGCCACCATACTGGATCTTGGACAGGTCCCCGTCCACAAAACCCTGGGGTTTAAATTAAACAAGCACTTTTTACTGGGAAATAAAAGGTATCATGGAATCTACATGACAAGTTGAAAATGCATGTATTTCCATGTATATCAGTACTTAATCACTTAATGTATTTACTTAGATTGCTTACTTAGTTAAGATTACTTACTTATATGTATATTAGTAAAAAACATAGATCTTGTCTTTTTCATGGGAAATAAGTGGTGAAAATAGCATGTGCAAAGTTAAAGAGCACTAAAAACGCACGCACTCACACACACACACACACACACACACACACACACACACACGGGGCATCACATGTTATGCAGCTTGTATGGAAGCTTCCTGAAAATATGAGACCTTTTCATTTGTTTGAATTGTATAAGAGTTGCCTTTGCCTCTACTTGTTATAAATGGATTTCCCATTTCCACAGAAATTAATTCAGATCTCTTAACTCTTTTGCCATTTTGTTTTCTAACTGACTGCTACTGCATTTGTACAGGTGTAACCTTCTGTGGTCTCATCATCAAATAAGTATCTTTATTTATTTACATCTGTATGTAAGATTGAAAATATAGTTATTGATTATGAAATGACTCTGTCTGTATCTTATTGAGAGCAGGAGCACACACCAGGTTAGCGATGATGTAGTGGTATCCTTTGACATGTCTGCCAATGGTGATGACCTGAAACAGACAAGAGTGACATCAGAATCATGAGAATAAGGATGATCAAAATTATCAAAATAAATCAGAATAAAATGGCCTGTCTTTGTGGAGCAAACTTTTCACCACTTCATCTTTTCACTGTACTTCTGTGCCTCTGTCGTACATTATAGGCATTTCCGCATGGGCCTTGCTCTACACAGACGTTTCATATATGTGTAGAGCTGGTCAAGCAGAAACCTCTCTTCATGAACACACACACCCAGTGTTGGGTTTTTTCTTCTCTCAAACTGGAAACAGGTGCTTTATAAACAGCCTGTTCAATATAGTTTGGCCTTAAATACACTTTTGTTTACGGCCTGAATGAATACCTAGTCTAATTGTCACACACACATGCACACACACGCACACACACACACACACACACACACACACACACACACACACACACACACACACACACGGTTCCAGAGTATTGTTTTGCCCTACAAAACAGCTCAGTACAGTCGAGCCTGCAGCGTCTGTTTTACCCTCATAAATGACTTTGGAGCTAAAAGTGTTTCCAACCTAAACACTTGTAAATGGATCTTTAGGCCAAGATATGTTTTCAATCCACAAGATGAAAGGTGAGAATCTCAATAAAACTAGAGTGGCCCTGTGGAAATTGTTTTTCCGAGGTGGGACTTCCAGCCAAAACCTTCCTCAATACCTTTAAACATCTAAACTTATTTCCGACTTGTGGGATTCCAGAGCACATCCAGAAATAGACACTGGAGGTGAGGGCAAAGTTATTGAAATTAATTGATATTTATCAAAAAATTATTAGCAAAAATAATTTAAAGGTATATAGGAGGATTTTAGGAAACAACCGCCTTCTCTACAAAACTCTCTGGTCTTATTTGATGAGCACGGATCACCAGCATGATTGACAATTAGGAAAACCAATGATCCACCCGGAAGTCGAAAATGCGCCTTTATACCTTTGATATAGCCCTGAGCCAAGCACATTTAACATGCTTTTTTCAGTGCGGCTCTTCAGTATGGAGAAGAGGGCAGTACAGTCTCCTGTGGTACTTTCCTGCAGACTCTTGTTTTTAGAATGTTTTAAGTGATTCATTGCAGGAATACTGTACTTTGTATGGGCTCACCTGGTCCATGATATCTTTGACCTTGTCCTGCTCACAGTCCAGGATGACCCTCCGCTCCTTCTTCTGCTCCAGGTCCTGAAACAGTGACCGATATGCTTCGTCCTTCCTCTCGTCTTTTAGGTTCCCCACGTTTATGGCCGTCACCTGCCACTTCCTCTCGGCCGCTGTGTCCAGGACCACCTGCAGCGTGGTCAGGCCTGCCAAAAAATAAAGACACGTATGTGGTCAGTCACAAACCGTTCCACCTGCAACCGGGAATATTGCACCTGTGGATTGGTCGCCTGGAAGCTGCTTCAGTCTAGCACCGCACTTTCTTAGTCCTTGTTCTACAACCTGAGTCCTTAACCTATAGCCTCCCTATATCCATGGGAGCGGATCCCTCTTTCCATGTGGGCCTCCCCATGGTTTCTCACTAGTTTCTGTTGGGTTTTTTGAGTCGTTCCATGCTGATGTAGAAGTAAGAACATTCATGTTTGTATTTTTTTGAGTTTACATTTATGGACATTGGTCACCCCACTCCCTATGGACCAATGGTTCCTAAGTGTTTGTTATTATTGCATTTTTGTGCTTGATATGATGTGTGTTGGTGAATCGACAACTTTGTAAAGCGCTCCGCAACAACTGTCGTTGTGATTTAATGAATGATCTGGTTCATGATCATGCCCGGGCTGTTGCAGAGGCAAAAACCCGGGACTGAGAAGATTTCGGGGAGTGTCCGAAAGTGTCTGGATGTTGTAGGACTGTCTTGGCTGACATGTCTCATCGCATTGCAACATCGCGTGGCGATCGGGGGCAGTGTCAATGGAGTGACAGACCAGGGTGGTGGTTCCTCTCTACAAAAAGGAGGACCGGAGGGAGTGTTCCAATCATACAAATGCATCCTGATGGAAACAAAAAGGTGCATCATACTATATCTTTCCCATCACGTACAAGTTCCTTCATAACCTTGCCATAATCAATCAGCATTGTCCCTTCTGCCAACTCATATCCGAAGACTCCAACCTATTCACTCCTGCTAAAACTAAGTGAAGAACCTTGCTCTATGGAACTCTCTCCCATCAGGAACTCAAAGTCACTTCAAAACACCGCTAAAAATGTATCTGTTCAAAACTGCCTAAACATTACTCTTTAAGTTAGCTTTTTATTATTTGTTTAACATTAACCTCTTCTCATGTAAAGCATCTTTGAGTGTACAAAAAATATCTATAAAAGTATGATGTATTTTTATTGTCATAAATATTATCTTAATCTCTCTCCTCCCCATTCCTCATAATCCATAAGCCTACAGACAAATCGTTTGAGTTTGGCTGTATGGGGGCTCCAAAAGTATAACACTGTGGCCATTCTAAGAGGACTAAAGCTCTCCGTTTACAGTGCAGCTTCATGTGAAGCATGAAGCATTCATTCACAACAGCTCTTGCCTTTGTTGTGTCTGGTCCTCATTCTAGAATGAAATGGTGATTATTGCTTTAATACGCCTACAAAAATCACCATTTAATTCACCACTTTCTATTTTTGCAAAAAATTCTTGAAGTGTAGAGAAGAGTCAGGATTTTACATATAGTATTTAGATTTTAGATCGGTTTTGCTGCTTTAGTTTGAGAATCATTAATATTGAATATCATGAGTTTCAGAATCATTAATATTGCTGTTAAAAAAGATACATTCTAATGTTGCTTTTCCTCTTAACAGGAGGCTGAAAGCAACAGGTCTGCTCTAATCTGCACTTCTCATTGCAGACCATACTTCACTCCCAAACGCACTCCCCTGCGCTTGATCATATTTGATGCTGTGGATTGACAGGTTTAGAGAATAGTCCTTAAGCACTGGCCACGGAGGAGGACAACAGCCTGGAGCAAACACGTGAAAGTCGAGGACGCCTCTGCGGCTTAAAGTAGTACTAGAATTTAATATGCTGCTATCCAGAATATATAACTACAATATGTGTTTATAATATTCCGTGTGTTCATTTTGACATGTTCAGATGAATTATGTTAATAAAAACTGCTTTGAAGTGGCACCTTTTCACTTCCGCATAGAAACGCTAGGGGGGGCCAAAATGGCGGCGATGACGTAGCAGAAGGGCATCTCACAGCAGTGGACAGCAGTGTGGGCTGAAACTGTAGGAGGTTTCACTGTCATCTCAACAAGGTATAAACATATTTTCATCCGTTTTGTACATAATAGTGCGCAACTCTTTTAACCTTTTAGCCTTATTTGTGAGATTCAAGCTAATTAGTGTTGGGCAAGTTAGCTAACTCTACTTGATATCATAAAACATGCTAACAAGGCTAACATTCGTTTTTACATTATGTCAGTCTCACTTTGGTTGCCTTAGATTTATTTACCACAATGTACATTGTAATATTCAAAAATGCTAACATACGGAGCCCCTCCGATGATATGGTAAAAAAAATATATATATTGTGGCCACAAAATAACTAATTTGTTCCCTCAAATTACTAATTTGTTCCCTCAAAATACTAATTTGTTCCCTCAAATTACTAATTTGTTCCCTCAAAATACTAATTTGTTCCCTCAAAATACTAATTTGTTCCCTCAAATTACTAATTTGTTCCCTCAAATTACTAATATATAGCTACAACTTCTTTAAGGGTTAAGGTAGAGGCATTAGTAGGGCTAAAGCTACACCATGGACAGGGACAGTATAATAGAATTTTATTTTAGGCTGGGAATGAGCTACAAAGACATTTTGAAGAGCCTGGCATTGCAAGGAACCATCATTACTGAGAGACATTTAAACAGAATATTGAGAGCCAGGTTGCTTTACAGGCGAAGGTATGACTTGGACGCCGGCATTGATTTTATTGTTGACCAACTGCAAGGCCCTGGAAAGGATCACTGCTACCGGTGGATGTTTACAAAGTGTAAACAACACGGTATTTCTATAAAAAAAGAAGACGTCAGGATCCTCCTCTCTTTACTGGACCCCATCGGTTCCCAAGCTCGCAAGCGCAGACGTCTCCGAAGGAGGCAATATTTTGCTCAGGGACCGAACTTTGTGTGGCACATAGATTCATATGACAAGCTGAAGCCATATGGGATATGTATTAATGGTTGCATCGACGGGTTCTCACGCAACATTATTTGGCTGCGGGCCGCCTTCACTAACAGCAACCCTAAAGTTATCGGGGGGTACTTTGTAGAAGCAGTGGAGCGCCGTGGGGGCTGCCCCAGGCTCGTACAAACTGACATGGGCACTGAGAACGTGGTGGTTAGAGACATTCAGCGGTATTTACGGAGAAATGACATGGATGACAGAGCAGCAGAGAGAAGCTACATCACAGGAGCAAGTACTGCGAACCAGAGAATTGAGAGCTGGTGGGGAGTGATGAGAAAAGAAGGAATCGAGACCTGGATCACGACTCTGGCAGAGCTGAAGGATGAGGGATTCTTCTCTGGGGATTTAATTGACAAAGCTCTGGCACAGTTCTGTTTCATGCCAATCATTCAGGTAAATAATAACAATAATAATGATAATAAAAATATACAATATTATGATCAAAGCAAGAAACCCAGAAGCCGTACCATCAACTCTAAATTACATATTTAATCAGAGATTGAAGACACTGAGTTTGGCTAATGTGTGTGATATATTGATTCTTTAGACTGTGTGGAAATAATAATCTGAACGTTATTTAAGCTACTTACAATTAGTTTTTCTTACTCAATGCAAAGGCAGTGAATAAAGAGGAATACAGTTCACTTATTATAGACGTTATTCACTCCTTAAAAATGCACTGTATGTCAGCTGTGACTTAATGGTTCTTGTTTCTTCAACAGGAGGTATTAAATGACATCCGGGGTGTTTGGAATGCTCACCTCATTAGGCCCTCCAAGAACACCAACGTCCCCAGTGGGATACCTGATGTTATGTACATAGCCCCTCACCTTTGGGGTGCGGAAGACTGTCTTGTTCCACTAACTGAAGATTTGACCACATGTAGAGACAGCTGCACATTTATCAGTTCAGTCCCATGTGATGTGGACGTGTTTGATTTGTGCACAATAATAATGGAGGAATCATTCTTGGAGTTCCCATCTACCATGTCCCAGGCTCTTGATTTATATTTTCATTTGAGGGACACACTTCGTCCAGTTATTTGAGGCTATTTAATTGTACACATGCACATATCATGTAGTACATTTGGTCCTTTGGCAAGGCACAATTTTACAGCATCGTGTACACATCACTTTTCATGTTTGTGTTATCTTGTGTGTTTGTTTAATCAAAAATAATCAAAGAAGTCAGAGTTAGGATCCTTCAATTGATTGATATTAAACTGTAAAGGCTACTGTATAGTGCATTATGATAATAGTTGTATCACCAATGCTGTTTCCTGAGCCTCTTTTTGTTTTTGTGGAAGAGATTAAAATTATCCAATGTTTGACAAAGAACTGTGTTTTCAAAACAAATCACAGCACATTTATAAGACTACAGAAGAATGACGCATACAATTAGCAGGTGGTGTCATTAGAAGTGTATTTTGAGGGAAAAAATTTGTAATTTGAGGGAACAAATTAGTAATTTGAGGGAACAAATTAGTATTTTGAGGGAACAAATTAGTAATTTGAGGGAACAAATTAGTATTTTGAGGGAACAAATTAGTATTTTGAGGGAACAAATTAGTATTTTGAGGGAACAAATTAGTTATTTTGTGGCCACAATATAATTTTTTTTTTACCATGTCATCAGAGGGGCTCCGTACTAACACCTATTAACGGTTAATTAGCATTTTTATTAATGATTGCATCACATGTAGTCTATGTTTTCAACTTCTGCAGCTTTTTGTTCATAAAAGTAAAATATTTATTTAACTCAAGTTATTTTGATTAGCATTTATGGATATTACAATGTACATCGTGGTAAATAAATCTAAGGCAACCAAAGTGAGACTGGCATAATGTAAAAACGAATATTAGCCTTGTTAGCATGTTTTATGATATCAAGTAGAGTTAGCTAACTTGCCCAACACTAGTTTGCTTGAATCTCACAAATAAGGCTAAAATGTAAAAAGAGTTGCACACTATTATGTACAAAACGGATGAAAATATGTTTATACCTTGTTCAGATGACAGTGAAACCTCCTACAGTTTCAGCCCAGACTGCTGTCCGCTGCTGTAACAGCATCGCCGCCATTTTGGCTCCCCCTAGCGTTTGTGAAAAGGTCCGATT